TTCCAATGATTAGATGTCCCAAGTTCATTCTGTACTTACACTGGCCCTGCTCTGGAATCAATCATTTCTCTGAAAAGTACCCTGGTATGCTTATTATTAGAGCAGTGTCTTTACTTCTGGACTCTCTCTGCAAATAGTTAGGACATACATGCATGTATACATAAACACACATATATATGTAAACATATATATACAAACACATTTTAAAAATCATGAGTCCAATACTTTCAAGTTCAATTCATCCCCTTAGGGTTCTTTCTTGCCTTCCCCCCCTTCCATATTTATATGGCTCTTCTTCCATAGTGAGAGACTCTGATTCTACCAATATCAACAATTTACTTATTTGTTCAATTCTATAATATATCTAAAACAGTTTAAGAATTGTTTTATCCATACAATTACAAAAAGCAAAGCCTGCTAAAAAGAGTTGAGTATTTGTTTATTTCTTCCTAACTCCACCCAAGACTAATGGTATATAAACATATATACTACATTCATAAGTGACTTGAATTATTTTTTAAACCCCCTTTAGTGTGACTATGTTATTCATTTGAAATATAATTCATGTTTCAGTGAGTTCCATCCTTGATTTTGTTTTCTTTTTTGAATATGGAAAAGATTAACATGTTTCCAAAATCAAAACTGTATCAAAAAGGCATGTCCAGAGTGAGATCCCTGTTGCTGAATTTTGGGGGCAAATAACTAAGGCCTGATGGGAACACGACTTCTAACATGTGGCTGGAAGGCTGTGATCATTTTTGCTGGCTATAGCGGGGTCTCAAGATGAAACTGAATTCTGTCTGGGCAAGAGATGTGCTTATATGCACAAAGCAAAGAACACCACAGTGACTGGTGGCAAACTGAAATAAAATGTAGAGTAATCTGGGGAAAGGTAACTCCTGACTAATTCCTAATGATTAGAAAAAAGTAAGAAAGAATATGAAAACATGGCATGGGATATAGGAGCCAGCCTGAAGAAGCTCCCACTGGCCAAAACTAGAACAATTTGAGTGCCGGAATAATTAAGAACATAATGAAATATAAAGTATTGAAAATAGGATTGGATGAGCCCAGCCACATGAATGATAGATATCAGTAGGTAGGTAGACAGATAGGTCGGTAAGTAGGTAGTTAAGTAGACAGATATATAGCAGATGGGTGGATAGGTGGAAATAGCCACCTGGTTCATGCCAAATTCCAGTTGCTTTGGACACACAATCCATGTGACCGTTTGAGGATTTAAAATTACTGAAAAGGCAATAAATAAAAGTAGATTTGTCCTTCTGTTTTTTAAAAAAAAGACACATCCATGAAAACATTGTACCATCCTATAACCCTTTGGACCCATCACACAGTCCAACCCCCACTCTCTCCAGGCATTCAGCTTTGTTTTCTAGCTGATTCTTAAGTTTCTTTTTCATAAAAGCTTAAGTGAGTGTGTGTAGTTGGGATGGGTCCATTTATACAGATTTTCTAAATGATGTAAATTTATAATATTGATAAATACAGAAGAATATAAATGTATTTTCTCATGATTTTCTGGTAACATTTTCTTTATTTCTAGCTCACTTTATTGTAAGAACACGGCATATAATACATTTAACATATAAAATATATGCTAACTGTTTATACTACTGGTAAGACTTTCAATCAAAACAGGCTATTAATAGTTGTTTTTGGGGAATCAAAAGTTATGAGGATCTTATATGAGGGTTAGTGGCCCTAACCCCCATATTGTTCAAGGGTAAACTGCGTGTGGGTAATTTTATTTATTTCCCCTTGTTTCTCATGCAAAACATAGTATATATGATGGATGTTCATTTACATTTACGTTACATTTTTTACTTAACAATATTTCCTGGAAATTTCTCCCTAGCTGTTCAGAGATCTGATACGTCATTGTTTTTCATAGCTACACAGAATTATAATATATAATACACCACACTTCATTCAACCAAACCTCCATGACAGTATGTATAAGTGGTTTTACCATGATAAATAATGCTGCATTGAATAATCATACACATAGGTATTTCCATATCAGAACTGTGTTATCAGAATAAATGCCTAGAAGTAGAATTTTGGGGTTAAATATTAAATACATATGCATTTATTTATTAGCTACTGCCAAATTCCCCTGCACAGGGCTGTACCATTTTGCATTCCTACAACAATTTTGCATTGCCACAACTTGGGCAATAAAGTGTATTGCTGATTTTTTCAAGTTTTGCCTTATAGACGAGAAATGGCATCTTAGTGGAGTTTTGATTTGCATACTTCTTAAAATAAAATTGAGCATCCTTTCATGTGTTTAAGGATCATTTTTGTATCTTTTCATGAACTACCTGTTCTTTTCTTTTGCCCGCTTTTCTACAGAATCTTTATAGACCAAGGATTATTAACATGGGGTCCACAGAGAACACAGAATATAGGGGATATCTGTGACATTAATTTGGGGGGAAATGCATTCTTCTTTTTACTAACCTCTAACTGAAATTTAGGATTCCCTTTCATCATAAATATGGGGTCAAAATAAGGGGGTTGCAATTGTATGGGGAATATAAAAATAAAATTTATTTTTAAATAAATATATAAATAAATAAATATAGACAAAAACCCTAGGTTGTATCAGTACAATCTGTACTTGATGGTCAACAGGAATCAGGTAATTTTACATTATTTTACAGTTATAGATATCTTCATATTATCACTCATCTATGACTCATCACTTCTCTAAATCAAGAACTTAAAAGAACTGCCTGCACACTGCATGGATACAATCTTCCCATCTGCAAATGCCATATATGTAATGAAGTTGGGCAACCATCCCGGCACCAGGTTGTAAAAATCATGGAATCTCTCACTGGGGACAAGGAGACCTATGCTGTTTTCCAGTAGGTTCTTACCTACAAAATTCTCTTATCACTGGATTTGAAGAAAGATGTCTATAAACCCCTACACCTATTAGAACTCTCCCGAAATTATTTCTATCCCAGTGGTATCAAAGTTGTATCATGAATCAGAATCCTTTATTTACTATCAACCAACCATATCAAAGATGTTCATCTAGTCAGAGATGAATTCACTGACCTTAAGACAAAAAAGTTACTGTAACTAGAATAAAAGTGAAGTCTTACAGAATTCTAGTTGTCCTTGAGAGAAGTTTATCATTCCTTAGAAACAAGCTTAAGATGTTTAAGTAAATTTATTTTTTAAAGATTTATTTATTTAATTTATTTATACATACAAGAACTGGGGTGTAGGCCAGAGGTGCGGAGGGTGGGGGTAGGGTAGAGAAGGGTAAGAGGAGGTCTCACTCCCTAGCCAGGGATGGAACTCATGCCACAGTGGCTGGTGATAGCTTCATAGCACTGAGACTTAACCCCTGCGCCACCAGGGAAGCTCAAAATGTTAAAATAAATTTGTAAGAAAATATACCTGCGCATCAGAATTTTCCAAACTAGGAAGCATCAAAAAACAAAAAAAAAAACAAAAAAAAACCCTCAAGTCAACTGTAGGTCTGACTTATGAAAGTCCTTCTCACAATTTAATGTTCTTAGCAAAGTTAAGCAACAATAACTCATACTGATGCCTAGATAATAAAATTTAACTCTATTTGCTTGTGGTTTAATCTTATCTCATTATTTAAAGCATTGCTAAAGAAGACATATAATACTGTATCACACATCTGTTTTCACGTTTTAGTAAGTATGCTTCATGTTATTGGTCGTCTCTGTAATTATATGCACTATGCTTTAAATATTTAAAAGCATCATTCCAAAAAAGGTACACAGATTTAGATTGCCTAAGAGCTCCCTTGCACAAAAAGGTTACGAGGATTTCTATTCTAGACTTTTCAACCAAATGCAACAGCTCTAAGATAACCAGAGTTAATAACCCATAAACACTGTCTTGTGCCACATGTCACAGCTCACTAGCTCCCCCAACTGAACAAAATGTTCACTGGAGAATGTTAACAAAGATAAAAGAGGGCCTCCCTGGTGGTGCAAGTGGATGGGCATCAGCACTGTGAAGCCGTCTGCAGCCACTGTGGCATGGGTTTGAACCCTGGCCAGGGAGCTGACCCACAAGGTGCAGCAGACATCTCCTTTCTTGCCTGCTGCTCCCCTCAGTAGTGTATTTCAATAGATCTGCCTGCTCTGTTCCTCACTGTCTCTGGTGAATCCTCTCACATACATCCCACAATGCCTCTGGCCTGCACCCCAGCTCTTTTATGCATAAATGGATAAATCTTATATAAAAAAAAATAAAAGACTTTTAACACTAAATAAGGGCACTGCTTATTGTACTACCCAGAAAGCCTTGGAGTCACTTACCATCAGTAGAATGCACATGGGAACTGCCAATCTGGTCCACAAGCAACATGAAAACGAAGCCCAGTACTAGAGAAACACCAATGTAGGCATGCAGGTGTGTGTGGTCGTGACTGTGCTCATGTTCATGGGCAACTGGCATTTCTGCTTTGTCTGATGCAATCACATTCTGTGTTTCACTTGATTGGTGGTGTTTTCCTAGAGAAGAATGAACCATAAAGAGAAAATGTGATAACCCCTTTAAACCATTTTCCATTTCCAAGAAACTACCATTCTTTTGTATTTCAAGCTCTATTTTTTTTAACTGCAAAGAGATCCACTTCTTAGATTGTAGTCATAAACTCCTTCAATTTCAAGTACACAATGAAAATATTCCCAGGTATCTTTTCCTTTTGGCACACAGACCTTTCAACTGCCTATTAATCTCAAAACATAAGTGGAAGCAAACCACCACACAAAGTCCTATTTCAAGGGATATCATCCTAAATCCCCCTCGGTTGAGAAATTCATGCTAATTTCATTAAAAGCTACAGTGTGTTTTATTCCAATGAAAACAGGCATATGAAGAGCAATAACACTGAAAATAATTACAATTACAAGTCATCTACTTTTTACCTAGGCTGATAGAAAAACTGCAAATAATGTGCAAAATGAGTATGAAACTTTAGCTTTAAAAACATCAGGGAGCAATCACTAACTGGAAATCAAAAGGGCAGTTTACAAAGCATGTCCTTCAGTCTTCATTCAGTTCTAGCTATACTATGATTCCTATGAGCCTCTGAATTATAGCAAATGACACCTGGCCAAGAAATACACTACTGGTTTATATCCACATATTTGACACCCAAAGCACAAATGCTTCAAGAACAGAATCCTTATCTTTGCTGTATTTCATGAACAGAGGCTAAAATACTAGTTATATTATAGCTTGTAATGAGATTAAGCATGTTCCACCTTTGATCAAATAAATTGCACAAGCCACTTGTAATATTTTAGATCCTACCTCAACTCTTTAAAAGTCATTTTTGAGGGGTACAAAGCACATGCCATGGGGAAATAATAAAAGTATATGCATTTTTCTAATTTCTGAAAGATTGTTTTGGTTTTCATAGTTCTTTATAAATTTTTTGGCAAAATACACATGAAATTTACCGTTACATATATATGTGTATACACACACACACACACGGATGTTACTCATGGATGAGTAACACACATATATATATATATATATGTGTTACTCATCCATGAGAGAACTCTCAGGCTATTATGTCTGTTTCATTCAGGGCATTGCTGGGTAACTCATTAGCTGACACATGTTCCACGTCATAATCCCTGGTGCAAAGTACACAAACCAATGGTGTTACACTGATTATGGCACACATCAGCATTTGCTTCTCATACCACTAACAGAGTGTTCAGCAAATCATTATGGGTTTGATTCTTCCCTAGAACTCATAAAGAATCCTTCCAGTAAGTTCCATGAGTAGCTGAACTATTGATAAAATGTATAAGCCACCCAAAAAAAGATAACACAGAACAGGTAGTTTGAATCTAAACAGATTAACTGCCTGCTAAAACAAAAGTAAACATTCTCCAGAGGATCTTGAAAGGATGTAGAGTCTCAAATTAAAATATTCAAAATGGGGCCTCCCCAGTGGCGCAGTGGTTGAGCGCTGGGTTGCGAAGCTGCCCGCAGCCTATGTGGCGCCGGTTCAATCCCCCACTGCTCCCCGGCCACCTGAGGAGGGTCCCGCATGCCGCACAGTCCTCTCCTGCTGCTCCCCTCAGCAGTGTACTTCGGTCCTTCTGCCTGCTCTGTTCCCTGCTCTGGCTCTGGTGAATTCTCTCACACTCTCGCACTTCTGATTGTACCCTGTGCTTGTATGTATAAACAAACAAACAAATAAATAAATCTTAAAAAAAAAAAAAAAAAAAAAAGATGGTGGTCTTCATGATGTTGTTTAAAAATAAATAAATAAATAAAATATTCAAAATGTATAGGATACAATCCAAAATTAGATATACAAATAAATAGGAAAATTTGACTAATTATCAAGGGCAAAGAATCAATCCCAAGATAACTTAAGATACTGGAATACTCAAAAGACTTTAAAGCAGCTGTTATAATTATGCTCCCTGAGATATAAAACACACTTCAAATGTGTTTGATAGTTTGTCTCAGTAGGAAAGAAACTGTAGAAAAGAACCAAGTAAAAATTTTAGAACTGAAAACTGTAAAATCTAAAATAGTAAAATGGCCAGATGAACTCAGTAACAGAACAGAAATGAGGAAAGAATCAGCTACAAAGGTGGAGTTTAATAGTGCCAACCAAGGTCACATGGGTTACATTGTCTAAAATAGTCATTACTGGGCCTCCCCGGTGGCGCAGCGGTTGAACGCTGGGTTGCGAAGCTGCCAGCAGCCTCTGCAGCGCCAGTTTGGTTCCCGGCTGCTCCCCAGCCACCGGAGGAGGGTCCCATATGGCGCGCAGACCTCTCCTGCCGCCCGCTGCTCCCCTCAGCAGTGTACTTCGGTCCTTCTGCCTGCTCTGCTCCCCGCTCTGGCTCTGGTGAATTCTCTCACCCTCCCGTGCTTCTGATTGTACCCAGTGCTTGTATATATAAATAAATAAATCTTTAAAAAAAAAAAAAGAATTATTAAAAAAAAAAATTAAATAAAATAGTCATTACTAATCTTTTTTATTTATTTTTTTTAATTTATAGAGGCATTTTTTCTTTCTTTATTTATTTGTTTGTTTGTTTGTTTTGTTTATACATGCACTGGGTACAGTCAGAAGCGCGGGAGGGCGAGAGAATTCACCAGAGCCAGAGCAGGGAGCAGAGCAGGCAGAAGGACCGAAGTACACTGCTGAGGGGAGCAGCGGGCGGCAGGAGAGGTCTGCACGCCATGTGGGACCCTCCTCTGGTGGCCGGGGAGCAGCTGGGGATCGAACCGCTGCGCCGCAGAGGTCGCCGGCAGCTTCGCAACCCAGCGCTCAACCGCTGCGCCACCGGGGAGGCCCCATTACTAATCTTTTATAGACATTTGCCAAGCCCTAGTCTAAACAAACCAATTAGAAGACGGAGATGGTCAAATTAGATTGAAAAAACATGATCCAACTGTGTGCTGTATACAAGAAATCTACTTTAGATATAATGAATGGCACGGCTAGGTTAAAAGTAAAAGGATGGAAAAAGATACGCCATACAGACACTGGTCCAGGGAACACGGGAGTGACCACTACTATCAGGTAAAATAGACAAAATAGAACAAGGAATAGCAGGATATTACAAAATGACAAAAAAGATCAATTTGCCAACAAGAAATAGCAATCCTAAATTTCTAGGCACCTAGCCAAAGAACTTCAACATGCATAAAGCAAAAACTGATATAATTAAAAGAAGAAATAGATAAAGCCACAATCATACTTGGAGAACTCAATATTCCTAATGCAGTAGTCAACAGAACAAGCAGAAAATCAGCAGAATGCAGAAGACCAGTATAACCAAACAATTTGACCTAAGTGACATTTACAGAATACTCCGCCAAATAATGGAATACACATTCTTTTCATGTGCCCCTGGAACATTATGCAAGATAAACCATATTTTGGACCATTAAAAAAAGCATAAAAATTTGTAAGCATTCAAATCATACCAACAATGTCCTCTGACCATAATTAAATTCAACTAGAAATCAGTAACAAACATTTGTGGGGGAGGGGGTTGAAACACCCAAATACTTGAAAATCAAATAACACTTCTAAATAATACATAAGTCACACAGGAATTTGCAAGGGAAATTAGAAAGTATTTTGATCTAAATGATGAGATCAGTGATTGCCAAAGGTTTGGGGATAAAAGGAAAGGTTTCACTACAAAAGGAGGGTGTGACAGAAATGTTCTGTATTTTGATTGTAGTGGCAGTAACAGGACTCTGTATTTGTCAGAACTTATAGATGTGTACACCAAAAAGAGTGCATATAAAATACATAAATGAAAATAATAAATAAAAGATTTTTAATGATACATACAATTGGGGCTGGAGAAAACATGATAAAAGGTTAAAGAGATTGGAATGCTTAGTTTTACCAAAGTGGACTGATACAGCACATATCTATTTTCAAATGAATCCTGAAAATTCTTTTGGACCCAAAATCTGGAAAGCTGAAAATAAGAGACTGTAACCTGACCCATGGTAGCTAAATTTAACCACAAAATTGCAACTAATTTATAAGTGAATTAAATCTCAATAAAACTGAATTAAACAGCAACAACTATAACTACTATATCTGAAGCATTTCTTCCCCCTTAGCCAATGTTTCCCAAACTTGTCTAATAAGAATCATTTGACAACTTGTTCCCAGGCCACTTTCGTGGAGATTCTGATTCTATAGTCTAGGTTGAGGGCAAAGAAAATAGATTTTTAAAATGCACTCCTCCTTCAAAAACTTTTATTATTAAACATGTTTAGAAAACAATTACTGTGGGTTCCTATGAACTGGCTACTCATGGGCAACTGTGACCTATTTGCTATCTACAGTAGAACATTCCTTGACTACCTACAGAGTTTAGCTCGTATCACGAGGCAGGCCCGGGGACGCATAGGCTGTTGTTGACCTGACTATGTGACTATCTCCATGGCAATCTCAGGATAACTCTGCCTGTGACAACATCATATTTTGCTGACACAAATGTCTTATGACACATGGTCACGATGTCCCCTTCCCTGTCCCTCCTAAAATTTTGTCCCCCATTCCTATCCCATCCTTTGGACCCTGTTTCTCACACCACTGTCGCATGATCAGCTTTTACTAGCCTGTATGATTTCAATAAATAGCACAAGAACTTCTGCTCAGCTAAAAAGAAACTTCTCTGAAGAGGAAATGCAAATGGCCAACAGACATATGAAAAAATGTTCAACATCACTTGTAATCAGGGAAATGCAAATCAAAACTACCATGAGATACCATCTCACACCAGTGAGAATGGCACATATTAAAAAAACTAGCAACAACAAATGTTGGCGAGGATGTGGAGAAAAAGGAACTCTTGTGCACTGTTGGTGGGAGTGCAAACTGGTCCAACCACTATGGAGAGCTGTGTGGAGATTTCTGGACCTACTAAACATAGAGCTTCCATATGATCCAGCAATTCCACTCCTAGGTATTTACCCAAAGGACACAGAAACATCAATTCCAAAGAGCACCTGCACTCCTATGTTTATAGCAGCACTGTTTACAATAGCTAAGCTTTGGAAACAACCCAAATGCCCAAAAATAGATGACTGGATCAAGAAGATGTGGTACATATATACCATGGAATATTACTCAGCATTCAAAAAAGATAAACACATGCAATTTGCAGCAACATGGATGGCACTGGAAGGGATCATGCTCAGCGAAATAAGCCAAAAAGAAAAAGAAAAATACCGGATGGTCTCACTCATAGCAGGAATCTAGAAAACTTAAATAAGGGACCAGGAAATGAATATAAGAAAGTGAAAATCAAAATCAACAAAAACTATGAACCAGAGACACTTTTTGGGGTGGGGGGGGGAGGGGAAGGATTGGGGTCAGAATGGGGCGTTTGCAATTGTATGGGGGAATATAAAAATAAAATTTAATATTTGAAAAAAAAAAAAAAAAAAAAAAAAAAGAACTTCTGCTCAGGTAGCAGTCTTGCCTTGAAACCTCCTCCACCACTGTTGTGTCCCTCATGGAGTTTCCCCTGAAAGCGGCAACAAAGTTCCTGTTGCAACAAAGTGGCGCCCAAAACAAGGACAAATTACAATCCATAATTTTTTTCTTAGCTACAAAGCCAAGCAAAAATTTAAAAAAGTTTGTCTATTTAATCACAGTCTGAATGTTTCCTATTATACCAAGACAGTGACAGTGGAATAAAAAAACATCCAAATGTTCTACTGGGATATAAAAGAAAACACTATCTTCTACATATACTTACTTTATATCTCATACTTCAAAACTTTCTATTTTTGGAGTGCTTTAAAATAAGCAAATAAGTGCAGCAGTACACGTATATCTTTATTCCCTAATAATATGTGTGATCAAAAAAGTAGAAACTACCGTTCCTGGGCTCCTTCCCCCCCCCATAAAACACACAAATCCTCAGCCTCAGTCCTGCATTAAGACTGCATTATAACATCTGCCATTACTCTCTGCCTAGTAAACACCATTCTACCTACTTTTATGCCTTCATAAAAGCATCATCACTCTGGACCAAAAACACAATTCTTTTCCTCTACCAAGATATGAAATAGTATTTATTGTATTTTTGCCTAGTAAGAAATTTGGAAAGTGTCTCTCTTTTATACTGTTCTTTAAGTCCAGTATAGTCTTGGCATTTGAGAATTCAGCTCCAATTTAAGTGGTTTCAATTCTTCATAGGTAGCTGTGAAGCTCCATGACAAGCAGTAACCTGATTTTGCTGCGTCATAAATCTGAATCAAGCATGCATTCAAGTGGATGTGAAGGATGAAGTTACTCAGCAGGTGTAAAGCAAGTTGACTGCGCAGCATTTATTCTCACACAGCTAAACTGTTTTCTACTTATTAGTAATTAGGATAAGGAAAACCTCTAATTTTTTAGTTATCCTTTACTGCTTCAACAATTATCGACAAGTTTTCTGTAAAGAGTCCTTGAATCCAAATGTGCACATATGCATATATTTTCAAAGAACACTAAAATACAATCACTGCTATGTAGTGATACTGGGAAGTTTGACAAGTTTTGCAATAGGCCTTAAAAGAAAGATTGTGATGCTAAGACTGGAATTCATGCATTTTTGCAAATAATTCTAAATACTATTCATAAGTTGGGACAGTTGATTCACAGACAGTTCTAAGGAAATGTTAGATGTTAAAAATGTCCAAAGATCTGTTTCTAAGAACACTTTCCAGGAGAGAACTCTACGGCAAACATGAGCTATGTTCAGAAAAAATACCACTACGCTTTTCCTTTCAACTCTCCATGTCAATAACATATCTCAAAGAAAGCCCTTCTCCCTCTCACCCTCAAGAATATCTTCATAAAGTGCGTGTACTCCTTCAGGCACGATGACCGCCAGGGCAGTTCCACAGAGAAGGCCAGCACCCAGAACAGTCACCAGTTTTAGTCGCTCCTGGAAAGAAAAAATAAGGAACTGTTGAAAAGACTGATGAATGGGGAAAAGTTTCTGAAGCATCTGTACTCAAGGCCATGAACTATTCATTTGTGAGACCATAATCTGTACTGGCCAATGAACATGAAAAAGGGTCAGCTTCATGAATAATTAATGCCAATTAAAACAAGGAGATGCCATTTTTCAAGTTACTAGATTGGCACCATGTTGGGAAATCTGTCTACTATTAATGATGGGGGAAAATGGTCACCCTTGTCTAACACTGAAAAGAATATAAATTGCTGTGACCTAATGGATTGCAACTTGGCAGTTTTAAGCCTCAAAAATGTGAATTCTTTGATCCAGCAATTTCACTTCTAGAATTTCATCCCAAGAAAGAACTATGCAAGGATGACCACTGCACTTATCAAAAATGCAAACTTGAAAATAATATAAATGTCCAAGAGAGGAAATTGGCTAAACTATAATACTTGGTTACAATGCCATAGCACTAAACCATTAAAAAGTATAATACAGCTCTATTCATAATATAGAAAATCATGATGTACTGTTCTCAGGAAAAGGCTGGTGGCAAACAATATGTATTGATAATCTTATATTTGTATAAAAAAAGTATACATATGAATGCATTAAGTACACATTAACACATTTTTACTTTGTAATTTATAAATATATAACAATTTATAAAACATTTGTAATTTTTTCACAATGAATATATATTACTCATACAATGAAAAAAGTGTTCAGTTCAATATTAAAATGTCCTTTGGTTTTTTAAAAAATCATTTCATTGAAAAAAGATGGACATAAAAAAGCAGGTATTTAATGAATACAACTTGACATGAATATATCTGCAGAGCCACCACTACCATCAATGCCATAAATGTTCTATGGTTATAATCTGACTCAATCCCATTTTCCCTTTATACTCAGATTTCTTTGAGAGGTTGCCTTCTGACATAAAAGGCAAAGTTTCAAAATTTCTTAAAGTACTCATGTACCATATATGGCTTCCGTGACTTAGCACTATGAAAAATCACCTTAAAAACTACAATGGGTAACTACGTATGTATCTCATGAAAAAGTTTCAACAATTTAAAGGTACAGCATGTACTTTGCATTTCTGTTTTAGTTTCCCTTATGAAGTTAGCAAAAATAACAGTAACTGTATTAGACCTGCTACTGAACTTCTGACTGAAGTTGGGGAGAATACACACACTCTCTCTCTCTCTATGGGAAAATGGGTACTTAGCTAAAAGGCTGGTTGAAACATTACTATTTCCCTGTGTGGGAAAAAGACGGGATCTATATTTCTTTGGGTCTCTATTGAAAACAGGAGAACTACAGCTACGTCAGCATCAACTAATTGTTGTGTTTAGCAAGAAGGGAGTCCCCACCAATCCCTGCAACCCCACCCCCATCCCAGATCAGTCCTTCAACAAATTCAAGATGGCCATCAGCTACTTAAAAACAGTATCTTCTGAATGCATCCAGTGGCTGGCGCACTGGCTTGGGAGACAGAACTGACACCATGGCCAAATCAGTCAACATCTCAGCATCTCAAATTTTCTTCTGTAAAATAAGAATACATGTCTCATGAAGCTATCAGTGGAAGTGATTAAAGCTGATCAGAAAAAATGACATCAAACAGTTGGTGCTACTATTTTAATATGGAACTATTCTTTAAGAGTCTTTGTCTTTTCCAGGTTACTAAACTCACCAAAGCACTGCTAATCACAGCATTCACTTGAGACAAACTGTCAGAGCACAGGGAGTACAAGATGGAAAAACAGCTGTGTTCTGTGTAAAGGGTGACACGGTGATTACTTAGTCTTTTCATGGTTCTAACCTAACCAATTTGACACTTTCTGGAGATTCATATGAATTCACAATTCATAAAAGTCACCATTGTCTTTAACACAATTCAGAAATATAAAGTTTTATTCCTAAGGAAGTACAAAGATAAGGGTAAAACTGAATCTGACAAGGCATACCATTACATTTTAGGGACCAGGTTTAATTAACTCCCCAACTCAAACTAATGAGTAAGTTGCCAGAGAAGAGAATTATCCTGTCAGCATTTTGACTATGCTCTCCTTTGGGAAATGGAAAGGAAAGATACCTCTGTAATTTCAAATTAAGGAAGAAGTGATGAAAGGGGTCTACTTAAAAAGAGAGTTATTTACTCTCGAGAATTACTTGGGTAATAGCTCAAAATATGCACAAAAATTAATTCTTGATGTATTATATACCTGAGATAAAACCTAAAACTCAAAAGGCTCTAGAAGAAAATATAGAATATGATCTTGGGATTGGTAAAGATTTCTTAGTGAGGACATGACGAACACAAACCATAAGAGAAAAAAATTCAAAATCAAAATTTAAAAATATTTGGTGATCCATTAAGAAAAGCAAGACAAGCTACATACTAGAAAAAAATCTTCACAATATCAGCAATGGAAATACACACACACATACACACACGTCCACCCCTTCAGGTTGGAGGGGACAGAAATCAGAATAGTGGTTGCCTCTGGCAGGAGGGTATAACTGGACAAGGTAGTGGCAGGAAAGATTATCTGGAAAGTGGCACCAGGATATTTTTTAGAATAGTCTTCATCTTGTTTGAGATGTGAGTTACACTTGTCAGGATTCATCAAATTGTATTTACATCTATACCTTTTTAAAATAATATATTACAAAAAAAATAGCTGGGTAGTTATTTACTTAGTCAAAACTTCTGAAAAGATTAATTTTAGAACTATTTAATTTTAACATGGCTTCCTCATGGCAGCTCTCAGATGAAGGAATATGAAAAAGTACTTAGTCCAGATTTTTGGAAAAATCATTAATCTTGAGACACAAAAATTTAAAATGGAATTAACTACCAAAGTTATCAACATAGTTCAGGAACTAGAACAAAATGTAAGAAATAATCCTCTCAATATAGAAAGAATCAAAGGCCAAAGATGAAAAATGATTTGCCCAAGATAACACAAGGTTAGAAATCAAGAGACATGACTAAATATAAAATTGTAATCAGCTGTCCAGTGTATTCCAAGACAAAGTCCATCAGCTAGCACAATATATACAATCTGTAATATAAAATTTACCTCTTGGGCCTCCCTGGTGGCCCAAGAGGGTTAAGTCTCAGCACAATCACCACCAAGTTCTGAATTTGATCCCCAGCTAGGGAGCTAACCCACCTATGGCACAGCACATCTCTCCTGTCTTGCCCACTGCTTCCCTTAGCAGTATATTTCAGTAGATCTGCCTGTTCTGTTCCCCACTCTCTCTCTGGTGAATCCTCTGGCCTACACTCCAATTCTTCTACACAAAAATAAAAAATAAACCCTTTAAAAAATAAAATTTACCTCTTAAAAAAGGGTAACATTCAATCACACAGTCTCTTTAAATAGTGTGAAACAGCAAAATCCCTTAGCAACAAGAAGAAAATCAGAATTGCAATTAGTTATAATTGTTCTCTAGTAATAGTTTCCAAACTGTCCATGGCAAAATAAGAGAACTAAGAATCATATAATGAGCTTTTCATATTTTATTTCTTAATTGTAAAAGATTCTTCTTTGTTCTGAGATTACACTTTACCTACCTTTGTGATTAAAATATGCTTTGTTTTAAGAAATGATGGTGACAATAGTTATTATTTTTAGTGTTCTTACACGGCAAAATTAAAAGCAGGCAATCATGTATCAATTCTCCTGAATTTCAAAAATATTACTGGCCTATGAAATCCAAAAGTCTGGAAACCCTGACCTACAATGTAAGCATGAGAGCTGTATTATAAGAAATTCACAAAGAATTTGAGAATTTGCAGGAAGATATCACTAAAGTAAACCTGAGTGTATCATCTAGCTTTGTAATATTTCCTTGGAGTAAAGGTGAGCTAAAATTACTGTATTGTGTTTTCAGTTCTTTTTGAAATTATTTAAAGCACGCTATTTATCAAATGAAATTAAATACCCACTGTCCTTATTACCCCTTCCACAAAAATTGTAAATTTCCATGAGGGCAAAGATTTTTGTTTTTAATTTATTGCTGAATTCAATTTACACGACAGTAGTTGGCACATAACAGATTCTCCGGAAACATTTATTTAAAGAACGATGCAAGGGACTAGAAACTTGGAACCCACCACTTAGATGGCTCCAATCAACAAATACATTAAATCACAGGAATCTCTTTAGAATATTTGTATTGGTGTTGATTAATAGGCTTAACACATTCCTTATAAGTGTAGCCACATCAAGAATTTTCAGTGGTCGGGCCACCCTGGTAACACAAGGGTTAAGACACAACCTATGAAGCAATCCGCAGCACCAGTTCGATTCCCAGCCAGCCAGGGAGCAACCCACATGGTACAGCAGACCTCTCCTGCCTCGCCCACTGCTCCCCTCAGCAGTGTACTTTGGTCAATCTGCCTGTTCTGTTCCCTACTCTGTCTCTGGTGAATTCTCTCACCCCCCACACCTCTGGTCTGTACCCCAGCTCTTTTATGCATAAATAAATAAATCTTTTTTAAAAAAAAAAGAATTTTCAGTGATTAACTGACTCAGAATTTATGATTTGGTTCAGGAGTTATACAACTATATATAATAAAGAACCACAACAGCAGTCCACCAAAGTTAACGTGAGACAGTGCTGTTATTTGTCTTTTTTTTTTAAATTAATTTATTTATTTATACAAGCACTGGATACAGTCAGAAGCGCGGGAGGGTGAGAGAATTCACCAGAGCCAGAGCAGGGAGCAGAGGAGGCAGAAGGACCGAAGTACACTGCTGAGGGGAGCAGCGGGCGGCAGGAGAGGTCTGTGCGCCATGTGGGACCCTCCTCCGGTGGCCAGGGAGCAGCCGGGGATCGAACTGGCGCCGCAGAGTCTGCGGGCAGTTTCGCAACCCAGCGCTCAACCACTGCGCCACAGGGGAGGCCCTGTTATTTGTCTTATTAACACAAACAACTTATACGACATCTACATTTTTTTAATGGAGCTCGAAACCATACTCAGTCATTGTTTCAATCTTCAGCTAAGCAATATAAAATTACTTGTACTATAAAACTTTTATCAGCCTGTTAATTGTGTACTAATTTGTTCATGGTAGAAAGGCAACACTTTCAAAGAAAAGCATCAGTAGTCAAAAATAAAAGCATCATTGCCATGTAGTTTCAGTTATTTTTTAAAAAGTCCTTTGCATCTAAATCATTTTAACTCATTCTGATATGGCTCTGTGTTATTTGTACAGCTGTCTTCTT